ATGGAAAGTAGAATGGAAACTATTATATTACCATAGTGTACATATCGGGGTTTATATAGGGATAATGGAAAAGGGGGTCTCCCAAAATTAGGGGTACCCATTTGGGGATCCCAATAATAAGGACTATAGGATTTTGGGGGGTCCAGTTACAAAATGTCAAGTTTTCATTTTCTACAAGTATCCCATTGTGGAAGGCGCGTCGATGTGGTAACTTAGAGGCGTTGGGGATTGAGGTTTACAGGTTTAGGGCCCCAACTCCTACAAGCCTAAACCCTGGACCTCAAAGCGGCAGTCACACGGCTTAAGCCCCGACTTGCACACATAGAGATACATAGTCATATAGTCGCTTTATGGGGATGTATTGGGTTTTGTAGGATGTGTAGGGGTAGGGGTATATAGGCTTATATGGGAGTGTTTCAAAATTCTCCTGACGAAGTTTTATTTGAGGGGTGCCCCTTTTTGTCCACTTCTCTCCATTTCGCTTGGGTCCCCAAGCCCTAAACCCTATATCCCAAATCCTAAACCCTAAACCCCCCTCTTTGCAGAAGGAATAAAACGTTTTGAGCAAGAGAAATCTTCTGCCCAGAAATTCCAATGCCAGGTTCAAGCTTGTCCCTGCTCCAGGGCTCCATCCAAGCAGGCCCAGCGTGAAGCTCAGGAGTTTGATCAAAAACCCTAAACCCTAAACCCAAATGCACATGGAGTCCCATAGTGCCCCATTTCAAAGGACAGTAGTCTAGAAAGAGCCATTTTGCAGGTTCCATGTTAGTTTGGGGGAGGGAAGGTGGTAGTGAATCCGAATATTATCTGATCCGTCATCTCAAGAATCTGGAGAGAGCCACTATTACAAAATGTTTTGCTTGGCGCATGATGCTGCCTGCCTCCAGTGTTTTTCGACAGTCGTCCAAAACAGGAAGAGTCCATAAAACGCTAAAGTAAAACAGGGTTTTCAGCAGGTCCTTAGCCCTAAATCCTGAACCCGAAGCTCACCCTACACCCGAAACCCTGAACCCCAAACACCTGAAGAAATCTGAGGCTGCAGCCCTCATTCTGGGATCTGAGCTCTTCGTGGACTCAACGCTGGGTGCTCAATGAGATAGCAAAAGCCGCGAGCAAGGAGGATGCTGGGGGGCTTGCATGGATCCCCACTGCTTACTCAATGAAGCAACTCCTTCCAACTACGGAATCGCAGCTACCACTAACCGCTGAAAGCCCTCCACTTTGTAAAGCTTCGTCTCCCGTGCAGTACCCAAGATTAAGATAGGATGTGATCAGCAATCTCAGGCGTCTGTCCGTAGTACAGCCCCTCCTTTCTACACTGATAGGAGCCCCAAATTTATCAGTAAACCTTGGGCAGTCCCTCTAGCGAGGATTAATCTTCGGCAGATGGCTACCTATATCCAGCTTCCAAAAATGTGAAGAGGTTCTTTGGAGGACCCCGGAATGTGGATCATTGTACTTTGGATTACAAAAGGAAGGCTCTTGCGGATACTAACGTCAGATTCCTGGAAATGAGGGTTTCTATGGCATCGGCACAACTTGGGGTTTTCCTGGCAGATTCACATCCTGGCTGAACTCTATCACCGAAAAAAAGCCTAATTGACACCTCAATCCTCAACTTTTTGTTTAAGATAAGCTACTGAGGAACACTATCTTACAAGAAGCCTTGTATAGCGATAGTATGATGTACCCATAGACCGATTTTCAACTTAGTTCGTCCCCTACGCTCTCAACCCTGTCCGAACTCCTTAAACCCTGAACCCTAAACCACAAACCCTCGACTCTAAGACCCTAGACCCTAAGCCCCAAACCCTAAACCCTAAATGAGGCGGGACATGGTGGTCATGGCCTTTGAGTTTGGAGCGGTGCCAATTGCTGGGGTCCTTCCAGCCTCTGCTCTCTTGCTGTTAGGTAAAGGGATTAGCGTTTGTGGTGAGGTTTTAGGGTTTGGGGTTAGGTTTTGGGGTTTGGGGTTAGGTTTTGGGGTTTGGGGTCAGGCTTTAGGGCTTAAAGTTTAGGGTTGACGTTAGGGCCTATCGGCTCTCAAACAATGTGGTCCTTACTGAAAGGGGCCCCGCTGCATACTGCATACCTCCTGAATCTCACTACATCTCTTGTGTTTCTACGGATGCTTATGATATTATACTTCTACTGCTACTGCTACGGATACTGCTACGGCTACTGGTTACTGTTATGACTGTTCATTCGGGTTTTGCTCAACACTTCGTTGTGCTTGCTATCAACGAGCCCTTTTGCTTTCATGATCTGAGGATGCTTCCTTCACAGGGGATTTGGTTGGATTTGACTGACGCGCGTTTGAGGAATGTTGTTAGATCTCCGATGGGCTGAAGCAGCGGTGTTGTCATAAAAATGTTTGACAACTGCAGCTGTAGCAGCAGCAGCAGCAGCAGCAGTAGCAGCAGCAGCAGCAGCTCTACAGAGAGGGCTCATGCCGAATGGTTGTCACATTCATGTTGTTGGTCCCCTTTTGACCTTCATGTGACGAAAAAACCAAAGTTCGGCAAGCGTCGCCGAGCATTGCACTGTCGGCACCCGAGCACCACGATGGCACTGTACAAGCCAGAGATCACGTCACTCAACAGCGTATTCCTATTGCAACCACTTTGTAAGCCTAGTTGCCATTTCATTGTCTATTTTCTTTTCCATTCGATGCTCCAGTGTCGATAATTGTTCAGGCTTCTTACCTCTAAACTTTTCAACCTACCAGCTAGAGCCGAAACCCTAAACCCAAATCCTGAAACCCCAAACCCTATTCCCTAAACCTTATGCCCCAGGCACTGAACCCTAATCCCTAAACCGTAATCCCAAAACCTCCATCCCTCAACCTTATTCCCCAATCACTAAACCTTAATCCCTAAGATCCCTAAACCTTCTTCCTAAACCCTAAACCCTAAACCGCAAGCTGGGCATTTCCTTAGCTTCTGGCCTGTGGCTCAGCGAGGGCCATGGCAGCAGTCGACCCAGGGTTGACTGGCACGAATCCTTTGCCTGTTGCGCCTGTTCTGCATTAAAATGTTTTTTTTTTTCAGGGTATAGGGTTTAGGGTTTAGGGTTTTTTCAGTATAGGGTTTAGGGTTAGAGGGGGTTAGGGGGTTATGTAGGCTTATGTAGGGCTATTTAAATAGGGTTATCTCGGGTTTTGAGGGTTTAGGGATTAGGGTTTCTTAAAATCAGCGACGCCTTTGCTGGGGGTCCCCAAAATACGGATTATGAAATTTAAGTTTTGGGGTATGCATTGGTGTCTCCTATTTATGGAACTACCCTGTGGAGGATTGCAAACATCATAGCCCATTTTGAGGACCCGAAATATTAGGGGGCCGTACCACATGCTTTGGCCATCCCTATGTTGGAGTACTCAAGTTGCCACCTGGTAATATCAACTTGATTTAGTACCAGTGAATATGGGTCCTACATTTTTGGCATGGCCAGCTGAGTTTTTTTTGCATTTTGGCCATCAATTGTTTCTTAGCACAGATGCCTAGTATCTTCAAGCATATGAGGGCTCTTTGAAAAGGTGACGTTCTGTAAGCCCTGAAGTCATCTGCATCTGGAGAGTGGAGCCCTGCCTCAGGAAGGCTTTTTCTACATGCCTCACTTTCTGTCGCCAGAGCAGGCTGGAATTGCTATCAGCATGGTCTGGACTTGTGCAAGCATTCCACCTGTATGACTTGTCGAGCATGGAGGTTATATACAAAGGCCAGTTTCCAGGTCTATTGGCAAAATCGAGGTCAAGTAACGGATGAGCGGCCAGCGGTGTCGAGTGGGGAAGGAGGGAAGTGGAAGCTGCTTTGTTGGTTCAGGTTTCGGGCTCCATTCAGAACTTCCCATATAACGACCTTGAGTGCAGAGATTCACAAAGGTTTGGATCGACTCTTCTGATTATTTCCAATACTATTGCTGTTTCTAAAACTATTCAACTATTCTTGTAGCTGGGATCATTTGTTGCGTCTTTCCTCATCAGCCGTGGTGTCTTTGAAGTCTTGTAGCAGACGTAGGTGACCAGTGAGCTACAATCCTTCAAAATTGTTTTCTTCGTTCTTTTTTCAACTGGCTGGTTTCGGTCACCCCTACCGCCGGGAGACAAGACCGACATTTACAATTAAGGGCTGTGAACTGGAAGCCAGGTCAAGAACGGAAGCCTTACACAGACCCAATCATCATATGGCCTCCAGATAGTCCCAAGAACATTCCCGGTGTAAACTTTATGAGAGTTCAACACACCCAGTCCTCTGCTTCCTGGCAGGTGGCAGCTCTTCAGGTTGCGGTAGAGGCCGGACCAAGGTGCGACGAAACGATCCTCGGCCACCGGACTAGGGTTGATTTTGAAACACGGTTCAGGGTTTAGGGTTTAGGGTTTAGGGTGTTCATAGCGGGACCGTGGGACCCCATGACAGGTCTATGTCATGGGCCCGCTGTAAGGGTACCCTCATTTGGCCTAGGGTGGACTTGAAAAGTGTGGGGCTTGGAGCCTAGGATTTTCACTGTCCCCATACGTGTCTTTTCAATTACATGCTTCCTCACTCACGTTATGGGAGGGAACAAGTTGACTCAACGATGTTTATGTGGGTATTCATGAAGATACAAAAAACAAATTCGTGTTTCACGTAGTCCTGTGCCATACAAACACAGCGTGGGGCTGACAAATCCGGGACCGAAGCAAAAGCGCAGTGTGATGCTAATCTATAAGTGCATTGCCCTCCCAATAATCATGTCTGAGGGAGTTTTTTTGGGTGTTCGTTGCCATTCATCAGGTTGTGGTCATGTTTACCTAAGTCAGGCGGTTTTACCCAGGTTCATGGGGATTATCACGGCGGGTATTGCGGAGATTTGCAGGTGTATTGCAGTTGCTGTCTTCAGGAAGACTATGGGGATAGTAGGGTAGTAAGACCCGAACAGGACGTAGTGCAAACAGTTCCTCGTGGTGTGGCAGTACGTTCAAGTTTCCCTGTGGTTCGTTGTGGAAGAAGCCTTACCACCACTGGCGCCGCCACTGCAGTGCCCGCGCCAGCGCCAGCCCCAGTGCTCGCGACAGCGAGCCCGCATGTCCACGCCCTCGCGCCCGGGTGTGCATGCCCCTGCTCCGCCGCCACCACCGCCGCCAACACCACCACGACGAAGAATACGGCTCCTCCTTCTTTCCTCTTGCTTCTACTCTCACATGGCCCAAGCATCCCAAATCTAGCTCTTTGCAAGGATCTCTACGGGGAGGCCACTGGCTGCAACGCCCGGGGCCCTGGGCCCAGGATTCCGGGATCGTTTCGTTCAACGCCATTTAAAGTTCAGGGTTCTGGCCTCTCAAGGGTGGGATCTGACAGCTGTCCAAAATTGTGTAGGGAGTGGTGTCTGATGAAGTAGGCAAAGGGATGACAATCAGGTGCACTGGCATGGCTTTCCGCGGCCGCATAGCCGGTCGCCTGGCGGCAGAACATTGCTTGGCAATGCAAAGCCCAAATTACAGCCAGGTCACATCTGTAGCACGCGTACGCAGACTTACCACAAGTTGAACGTCATGATGAGGTCTAGAAGGCGATTCCAGCACGGATCGAGAAAATGATTCTGTAAGACTTTCAAGACGGGTGACTACTGTATTCAACAAGTTGGAACTTGAGTTGTGCCTTTCCTATCGTCGGGATAGCAGATTTTACAGGAAGTCCTGTAAGCGAACATGTACTCATTCCCGCCCTCTGATCCAAGGACAGACCATGAAATCTCCAACATTGCCGATGTTTGTGGGCCGGCGCTGCTGCAACTTCGCGAAAGAGGTGCGCGCTTGAATTTGATGTCTTCTCTCTGTGTCGCTTGGGCCAGCTCGGTTTGCTGATTGCGCGCCTTTCCGTTGAGAAGCCCCGTGGTACATTTTGGACGCGCTAGGCATCTTGCCGCCGGGATACAGCTTTGACCAGGCGATCGTGAATTTCTACCCAGAAGGCCAGCACATTGCACGAAGTCAGTTACGAGATTCTCAGGGCATGCAGAAGCATTCAAGGGCTGTTAGTTGTTTTCCCATGCTCTTCTAGCCACGCAAATTTGAGAGGTAGCCCAATGTGGAACTGGCAGCCGTAGAGATTTGATGAGGCAGCGAGGGCATCGCTATGCACGTCGATAGGGCCAACTTCGATGCCACTGGGCGTGCATTGCAAGATTCCTGCGATGCAAGACATGGAGGTGGGGGGGGGGGGGGGGTTGGTCAGGGTGTGCAACCGATGCGCAAGACATGGAGGTGGGGGGGGTGCGGTTGGTCAGGGTGTGCAACTTATGGGAAGTGAAGTCTCAGTGCTGTGGTAGGGTAGGTCATAATGCAGCAAGCTATCACGAACCTGCCAAGGAATATATCGTTGGCTTCAGTCTGGGTGCTCCGGTTGCCTGGGACTTAACCTATCCTGCAGCGAAGCCGCTGACTTAACTATTGCTCCTATTTAGGTTTTCCAGCCAGCATTATTATCTTATTAGTATTATTATGACGTACAACGTGCAGCCCAGAATGCAGCCGTTCTTGAAGATTGCGATTCTTTGCGAGGGTGCTGCTGCAGAGTCCCCCAGTGGACGCTTAGGTGATGGACCTGGCGCCGCTGGATTTGCGGGAATGCGCGCCTGCGAAACCAGACCAGGTGCACGGCATCGTCTCACAATTAGAGTACCATTTTTAGTGCTTGGGGCCATCATTGTAGTATATTGGGAATATTTACTGTTACTTTGTGTTCCTAGTATTGTAGTTCTTCTTCTTACTATCATAAGTCCTGTTATCATATTTGACAGTAGAGTTTTTGGGTTTTATTGCCTGGAGTACTGGATATGGGATAGGAGTTGAAGAAGTAGACCTTCCCTGACCGTTAGACGCTGCATTACAAAGAGGAAGACACAATAATAGCTAATAAGAGTAATGACAGTACTAATTGCTGATACGAAAAGTTAACATCAGCTACTAATCGTAACCAGAAAGCAGTGTTTTATCATACTAATAACGCATAAGGCTAAATCATGAGGATGACCGCTCATGATGGTAATTAATCTTAGTAGTGCTAGAAAGGTGGATGACGAGATCGAGAGCCTTGAGGGTCCTGATCAGAGTCAGCGAGCCAGCCACGAAGTGTTGCTCGAGGATCTGCTAATGCAACCTTTGCTTGGCAAAACTAACCTTCACCTCCCCCCCCCAGTATGGGAACCATCATATGTATTATATGTTAGGGAATCTGCATTATTGGGGGGGGGGGGAGTGGGGGTGATTATTGGGGGAAGGGGTTACAGACAGGGACCCCAAGCAGGTTCAAAGGTGGTATTCCTTGATATTTGGGGATGGTGGGCTAAGGCAAGATGCTGTGGCAGGAACCGTTTTATCAACTTCCTTCACCAGAAGAGATAGAAACCGCTGTCCGGAAGCCTGCAGGAGGGATCCGTCTATGTCTTCTCAGGCAGAGTGCGATGGAAGTGGAAGCACGGAATCCGACCAGGTGCCCACAGGCCCAGCCATGTCCAGAAGCAAGCATAAATCATTCCAGAGAAAAAGCTTCAAGAAAGATAATTGTACGGAAGTCATGTGAATTCCGTGAGTATGTGTGTGCAGAGGTACCAGGGTGAGGAGCTTCCCCCTGGCTGCCGCACCTCCGTGACTTTCCGGAGGCTGAGGAGACCAGACCAGATGGAATCTGACGCCATTTGGGCGGCGAACAGCACGACAAAAAGGTCCAACATTGATGGCAGGTTCTTTTTCAGGGTCATCCCAATGGACTTTAGGGTTTAGGAACCCCATTATAGTAGTTTCCGATTTCTTTTCCATTATCCCTTATATAGCCCCTATATACTATATAGTGGTTAGAGGGATAATGGAAATTTAAATTGGAAAATACTATATTATGATGGGGTACATGGGTGTGATTTGCCTTGCGGCTGGGATGTCAAATGAAACCTTGCTGTCGGAATAATGGATATGCTCCGAGAACATAATTTTTTGTCAACGGCCGGATTCGCTTGCTTGGGATTTATGTACATGCTGGTGGTATATTTCCTTGGCACCCTTGTCCAACTTCCATGGTGCAGCCCCTGATGGTAAGCGCACCCTCAGAAGATCCGTATGCACAGAAGAAGTCGCATGGAATTTGGGGCTCACCCCACCCAGCTTCGCAGATTGGCCTCGTCTTCTTGTTCTACAGCCTGCACTGGTGCTGCTGCCTGCGGAGATGCAAAATTGACCGCAAGGCTAGCCCGTGATAATGAATAATGGTTCTGCTGTTCCGGAGAGCCGAAAAGCAGTAATGGCCATACGCTGGAGTCGCAAACATGAATCGCACGATCCATGCTGCAGAAGGATAATGGTGGACTGCTTATCATATGGAAGGCAGGGATACCATGGATACTCGGTACTGATAATCTCCTTGCGAGAATTGAAGCCAACACGTAGTACACTCCCCAAGTGACGGGACCCCCCAAAATCGCCCAAAGTCCGGAGGTGTGGGTGGATTCCTTGTACAGGGAACCCTCACAGGGTTCCCCCCAGAACGTCAGAACCACCCTTCTTCTCCAAGTTGCCTGCTAGGACCACCCGGCTCCCCAGTGGGCGGCTTGTGGATGGCCGCTTGGAGCGAAACTTCGTGGTTGGTTGTGATTCTATCGAGCTTCATGGTTGCGGGAGAGCTTCCAGAGTTCGAGAGTTGTCATAAGTAGGGTTAGAAAGTTGAAAATGAGCTTCAGGTGGATTACCTTGGATTTCCTGAATCGTTTGGAGTGTGGGGTTGTAAGTGCCAGAACCAAGTTTGAAGTGCCGTTATCCGTTATCCTGCTTACAACTAGCATGAAGGTCGAAGCAGTATTAAGTATTTAAGCCCCAGCCCTCAAACCTTTTGCACCCCAGACCCTGAACTCTGAGCCCTGCGCCCTTTCAACTTCAGGAAGCAGAGTGAATTCGGGAGTTAATCCTAAACCCTAAGCCTTAAAACCTAAATCCAATGTCTAGAGCCCGAACCCTAGCGGAACTCTTGACCTAACCAGCTCCAGAATGCCAAGCTTTAGGATTCCGGGTAGGGAAGCACTGAAGCTGCGTGCAGGCAAAATCCTGCCAACTTTCCTAACATGTCAAGCTAAACCCGAAACCCTAAGCACTAGCTAAACCTTGAAAAGCCCGGCCCCCAAACCCATTCCCTACCCCAACTTGGTGTTCTCTTACATCGGCAACGCAAAGTCCTTAATCCTTACTCTAAGCAATAGAGCAGCTTCTCTTTTCTTTCGCAGTATTATTACTTGCCATTGTTGTTCTTATTCTACAATCCTAAACGCTAAGCCTTAAATAAGATGGGATGGTAGCAGCCAGCAGGCGGGTAAAACGCCTTGCAAAGAAACAGCAAAAGTAGTTTCCATTTTCTTTCTTCTCCGTTCTTATTCTATTTTCCTACAGCTGAAGCCCTAAATGAGAGAGATGTCTCCTCTTTCCATTATGCTTCAACCCCAAGCCCTAAACCCCAGACCCTACAAATGCCCTGGACCCTATTATTCTACACGGCTGGCTCTGGTAGAGGTGCGGCGGCTGCTTGGGCGCGCTCCTGGCAGCCGGGCTGGGCGTCATGACCTTTGCCCGGGGCTTTGGAGTTGGCATGTCAGGGTTAGGGTTAAGGGTTAAGGATTTAGGGTTTAGGATGGGGTTATAGAGTTTTTGGGCCAATAATGGAGAATCAAACGGCAACGAACACGGAATTTTGGAAGCTGGGATTATGTAGGTTTATCGGCTTAAAACTAAGTATGCCATGTCGAGGGTCCGGTTTGTGGGTTTAATGTGTTGTTTTGTTTGGCAAGGGTTGAGGATTTGGGGGGTTCTAGGATTAGGGATTTTCAGGGTTTCGGAGTTGCAAGTTTCCAAGCTGAGGAAGCTGCTGCAGTCGGATCTCAACAAAGAGTGGCACGGGGTAGTTCCTACTTGTCTCAACTGATCAGGGATGCCTCGTTCTTGGTATTTCAACCGCAAAAAAAACTACTCATGGCAACTGCTTTGGTGTTGTCCCATGATCAGCCAGCCCCTTCGCCCATATCCTCGCCCAGGGTGATTCTTCAGGGAGCAATGGTTCTCAATCACGCACCTTTTGGATTTGATTACTTGCTGTCGCTGTCCCTGAACTTACCCCCTAAAGCCTAAGCCCTAAACCTGTAAACCCTAAACCCTAAACCTGCAAACCCTAAACCCCAAACCTTTTAACTCTAAACCTCCCAAAAATCCTCAACCCTGAACCTGTACTGGTTCTTGGCAGCGCCACCTCTGGGTTTAAGGCATCTGCTTCGCTCGGAACGGAGTCCACGCCTCAGTTGCACTTGCATCAACCTGGGGCTAGGGTTTAGGGTGTGTGGGGAACGGGTTCATTACTTATAGGGGGTGGGTTTAGGGCTTAGGGGGTTAGGTTTAAGGATGATATTGGGGCTGCCATGGAGAGCTATTCCCCCATACCAAGCGCCAAGAATTAAATCCACAGGTTACGTTAACATAGCCCTAAGTCCTAAACCCTAAACCCTAAGTCCTAAACCCTAAGTCCTAAGGTCCTAAACCCTAAACCCTGAGCCCTAAACCTTAAGTCCTAGACTCTAAACCCTTAGCCCCAAGTCCCAAACCCTAAACTCGGCTTTTAAGCTGCCATCGTCTTTGCCTCAGATCAGTCTCCAGACTAAGCGCCTGCCACGGCCATCTGAGGTATTGCTTAGGGTTTAGGGTTTATTAGGGTTTAGGTTTTAGGGTTTAGGAATTATGCTAGCCAGTAGTGCAGAAGCACATATGAAAAGCCCGAGGGAATGAAACGGAAACTTCTACATATTGGCCAATGATTCCTGCCCCCTTTGAAGGTTAAGATGACTTCCTAAGCCCTGAACCCTGAATCCCAAAACCCTTAAACTCGTAAACCCTAAATCTACAAAACGTCACATTAGAAAAACAAGCGCAACTAAACCCGATCCAAGATGTCCAAGGTTCTGCATCATGATGGATACGCTGAGTGCCTCTGACGGCCCGGACAGGTGCCACCTGCAATGCGGGTAGCAAGGTTAGTGGGTTCAGGGTTTAGGGCTTGAAGTTTAGGGTTTAGGGACCAACAAATAGGGGTTTTCCAAAACTAGGGTACCTTTTTGGGGTTGTATTGGGGTCATATAGGGATAACGGAAAAAGTGGAAGCTATTATTTAGGATTGAGGGTTTTTGTTGGGGGTTCCTACAATAAGGATTATAGCATATTGGGGTCTACACGAGACAAAGGTCCCCTTGTTTAGGGAAACTACCAAATGTCTCAGTACGAAGTAGGACTGCATCTTCCCAGGCGTCCAGGGTTTCACGTAGATACCTTGCACGTTCCAAAATCAAAAGGCGTGAATTTTGAATAGCCCCAGCTTGTGTAAGCGGAATCCCCTAAACCCTGAACCCCAAACCCGGTGGAAGTCCTGCAGGTATAGCCTGCTGCTGGGCCTGTCTGGCGACAGTGCGCAGGCACCAAATCGTTATGTCTCCGAACAAGTTATCATTTTTTTCGATTTGGAGGTCATATGCTATGGATCTCAAGGGCTTGGGTACTGAAGTGTTGCTTACGTTGCAAAGCATCTTGGTAGGTTCCCCGGGATAGCTTAGGTGGAAGATTTACTCTTAAGCACGGACGGCACGCGGCCGAAATGAAGGGCATACATGGCGGCTACAGTCCTTGCAAGATTGGCTGAGACCAAAGTCACCGGCATTGTACAGCTTCCCTACAGTGCCCCTTAAGTAGATAGAAAAGGGCTTTGTGTGTATTGTAATAAGACCCCCATATACCCCATATTCTCTTTACTTACGGGGGACTATACCCCTAAAATGGTTCAATAGCTTAGAGATTTGTGTAGGCAAGAATCTGGGCACAGAGGTCACATTAGCGTCCAGTTCGCCAGTAGTCGCAGAATGATGGCATCACAGCCCACATCTTCGTGCTCTTTTTTGTCTGACAATTTCTCCCGTCACAAAAAGTCGAGAAGTCTCTCATGAACGCCATGTCCAGTTGCCCCAATGAAGACAAGGCCTACTATGCGCAGTCATGTTCAAGTAGCCCAACAGAGACAGAGATCATTGTTGCAGAAAAACATCTAGGTTCCGCTGTAAAGCTGCTCTCGTCTC